CCCCGTCTCCCTATCATACATGTCTCCCATGTCACCCCGTCTCCCTATCATACATGACTCCCATGTCACCCCCGACTCCCTATCATACATGTCTCCCATGTCACCCCGTCTCCCTATCATACATGAATCCCATGTCACCCCCGTCTCCCTATCATATATGTCTCCCATGTCACCCCGTCTCCCTATCATACATGTCTCCCATGTCACCCCGTCTCCCTATCATACATGACTCCCATGTCACCCTGTCTCCCTATCATACATGACTCCCATGTCACCCCCGTCTCCCTATCATACATGTCTCCCATGTCACCCTGTCTCCCTATCATACATGACTCCCATGTCACCCCCGTCTCCCTATCATACATGACTCCCATGTCACCCCCGTCTCCCTATCATACATGTCTCCCATGTCACCCTGTCTCCCTATCATACATGTCTCCCATGTCACCCCGTCTCCCTATAATATATGTCTCCCATGTCACCCCCGTCTCCCTATCATACATGTCTCCCATGTCACCCCCGTCTCCCTATCATACATGTCTCCCATGTCACCCCCGTCTCCCTATCATACATGTCTCCCATGTCACCCCGTCTCCCTATCATACATGACTCCCATGTCACCCTGTCTCCCTATCATACATGACTCCCATGTCACCCCCGTCTCCCTATCATACATGTCTCCCATGTCACCCTGTCTCCCTATCATACATGTCTCCCATGTCACCCCGTCTCCCTATAATATATGTCTCCCATGTCACCCCCGTCTCCCTATCATACATGTCTCCCATGTCACCCCCGTCTCCCTATCATACATGTCTCCCATGTCACCCCCGTCTCCCTATCATACATGTCTCCCATGTCACCCCGTCTCCCTATCATACATGTCTCCCATGTCACCCCGTCTCCCTATCATACATGTCTCCCATGTCACCCCCGTCTCCCTATAATATATGTCTCCCATGTCACCCCCGTCTCCCTATCATACATGTCTCCCATGTCACCCCAGTCTCCCTATCATACATGACTTCAATGTCACCCCCGTCTCCCTATCATACATGACTCCCATGTCACCCTGTCTCCCTATCATACATGTCTCCCATGTCAACCCCGTCTCCCTATCATATATGTCTCCCATGTCACCCCGTCTCCCTATCATACATGACTCCCATGTCACCCCGTCTCCCTATCAAAGATGTCTCCCATGTCAACCCCGTCTCCCTATCATATATGTCTCCCATGTCATCCCGTCTCCCTATCAAAGATGTCTCCCATGTCAACCCCGTCTCCCTATCATATATGTCTCCCATGTCACCCCGTCTCCCTATCAAAGATGTCTCCCATGTCAACCCCGTCTCCCAATCATACATGTCTCCCATGTCACCCCGTCTCCCTATCATACATGTCTCCCATGTCACCCCGTCTCCCTATCATACATGTCTCCCATGTCACCCCCGTCTCCCTATAATATATGTCTCCCATGTCACCCCCGTCTCCCTATCATACATGACTTCAATGTCACCCCGTCTCCCTATCAAAGATGTCTCCCATGTCACCCCGTCTCCCTATCATACATGACTCCCATGTCACCCTGTCTCCCTATCATACATGACTCCCATGTCACCCCCGACTCCCTATCATACATGTCTCCCATGTCACCCCGTCTCCCTATCATACATGACTCCCATGTCACCCCCGTCTTCCTATCATATATGTCTCCCATGTCACCCCCGTCTCCCTATCATACATGTCTCCCATGTCACCCCAGTCTCCCTATCATACATGACTTCAATGTCACCCCGTCTCCCTATCAAAGATGTCTCCCATGTCAACCCCGTCTCCCTATCATATATGTCTCCCATGTCACCCCGTCTCCCTATCATACATGTCTCCCATGTCACCCCCGTCTCCCTATCATAAATGTCTCCCATGTCACCCCGTCTCCCTATCATATATGTCTCCCATGTCACCCCCGTCTCCCTATCATAAATGTCTCCCATGTCATCCCCGACTCCCTATCATAAATGTCTCCCATGTCATCCCCGACTCCCTATCATATATGACTCCCATGTCACCCCTGACTCCCTATCATAAATGTCTCCCATGTCACCCCCGTCTCCCTATCATACATGTCTCCCATGTCATCCCAGACTCCCTATCATATATGTCTCCCATGTCATCCCCGTCTCCCTTTCACACCTGTCGGCTATTTTACTCCTGGACCATCATCACCTGTCTGCCGTGTTTCTCCTTGACCACCATCACCCGTCTGGCGTGTTACTCCTGGACCATCATCACCCGTCTGCCGTGTTTCTCCTGGACCATCATCACCCGTCTGGCGTGTTACTCCTGGACCATCATCACCCGTCTGGCTTGTTACTCCTTGACCATCATCACCTGTCTGGTGTGTTACTCCTTGACCATCATCACCCGTCTGCCGTGTTTCTCCTGGACCATCATCACCCGTCTGGCGTGTTTCTCCTTGACCATCATCACCCGTCTGGCGTATTACTCCTGGACCATCATCACCCGTCTAGCGTGTTACTCCTGGACCATCATCACCCGTCTGGCGTGTTACTCCTGGATCATCATCACCCGTCTGGCGTGTTACTCCTGGATCATCATCACCCGTCTGGCGTGTTACTCCTGGACCATCATCACCCGTCTGCCGTGTTCTCCTGGATCATCATCAACCGTCTGGCGTGTTACTCCTGGACCATCATCACCCGTCTGCCGTGTTACTCCTGGACCATCATCACCCGTCTGCCGTGTTACTCCTGGACCATCCTGGACTACTGAGGCGTGTTACTCCTGGATCATCCTGGACTACTGAGGCGTGTTACTGGATCATCCTGGACTACTGAGGCGTGTTACTGGATCATCCTGGACTACTGAGGCGTGATAAGTAAAGTATAAGCCGCATTGAATAACAAAAATTATTATAACAAACGTGTATTCAAAACCAGAATACGTTTATTGACAACAGTCCTTTATCATAAACAAGACATTTACATATATGAAATGACAGAGCACACGTGTTTTTCTTTATTACATTATTCATCAAAACATTCATTTCAATGCCAGAATAAGTTTATTGACAACTGTCATATCACGAACAAGACATTAACATGTGTAAAATGACAGAGCACACATGTTTTTTCTTTAATATATATACATCAAAGCATTCATTTAAATTTTAATTTACAAATAAACATTAATCACATACAGTTTCGGCAAAGAATGTAAAAACTACATATACCTAATGACCTTTATATTCTCAGTTTAATTAACACATCAATCAATACATGTCTACAACTAAACCAGGTCACGTTGAACAGGCCCTACCACAACGTGGCACAACAGGAACGCCGAGTCGCCGAGTCGCAGGGTAAATGTCACTGGAGACGCTGTATCAGCGAAACACAACGTCACGTTGCAAACGTCTTTGACGTTAGCCAAAATGTGATCAGCAGGGCATGGAATCGATACCAGATGTTTGGATCAGCTCCCCAGCGACATGCAGGTGCACGGCAGCGTCCCACCACAGTGTGAAGACTGAGGACTGCCACCACACTCAGAAATAACCAGCGGGACGCTAGTGGCGTAAAGGTTTCTATTCAGTCAGTGCGCAATCGTTTCCGTGAGGCTTGTCTCCGGCCACGGAGGCCATGCATTCGCATCCTAATGACCCGACGCCACAGGCAGGCACGTTTGGATTGAACTGAAAATCACGTCAATTGCCCAGACTAGGGGTCTGAGACTGAGGTCCAGTACTTTTCACTGATGGATCGATATGCTGTCTAGATTTCAGGATTCTAACGTAGCCGAATATGGCCTCTCTGGAGGGGTCTCAATCACGATTTGGGTTGGGATCAATAGAGCTGGAAGAACCGATCTCAACACATGTACTATCACAACGCCCTGTCCTTCCGGGAACTCTACCGGAACTCGGCAATGCTCTTACTGAAGAGTGGTACAGTCTTCCCTTGGCAACCATTCAGACACTTATTGGGAGCATGAGACGACGGTGCCAAGATGTGAACGCATCACGTGAATCACATACGAGCTGTTTTCTTGGTAAATCAACGTGTTTTCGTGATTTTTGACTTTCGTTACTTTCAGTTTTGGTCAGATACTCTCATTTTGACGGGTGATTGATTATTGGTCACATGTTGTTTGTTGTCATTGTGTTGCACATGGCAACGGATTTTTACCCATTAAAAGTGTCTTATTATCTTTAAAAGTGGTGCTCCTTTGTTCAGTATATATAAGTATGTGCCATTGAGTTAAAGGTTAGGAAATAATCACAGCGTGTTCATAATGATGAAAAAAATAACCCGAAAACAATAACAACAATAATAGATACAGCATTGACATTGGTATTCTGGAGGGGGATTTTATCGAAAATAAATATTGTCCCCGAAAATTCGTGAAAATAATAAATACATCTGCATGCGTCAGACTGTTGAATAAAGGAAAGTGCCCACCACAAACAATACAATGTTGCAAGGTGTTTTTCTGTTTTAAAAAAGTGTCTTATTATCTTTAAAAGTGGTGCTCCTTTGTTCAGTATACATAAGTATGTGCCATCGAGTTAAAGGTTAGGAAATACAATACAATACAATGAACAATACAATGTTGCAAGGTGTTTTTCTGTTTTAAAAAATCAACTAAAATAATATCTGGTTTTGTATCTGTAGCTAAAAAATATGTAATCTCGATACAAAATCCCAGCCATCCCCTACCCCAAAACCACACCCCCAAATCTCAAATGAGAGATACTCATTTCTCTATCCGATTGTTTTTATAATAGCTCATATATGAACAATGTGTTAAAGTAAGAACGAAGAACGAAGAACGAAGAACACAACTTACTCTCCTACTCCACACAGATGGTGAAGACGGTATGGGGGGGGGGGGGGGGGGGGGGAAAGGGAGAATGGCATGATAGAATCTCGGTCGTTTACACCGATGAAAATCGCAGAACGCATGTGTAACTCCAGGAATCTATTACCCCTTGACTTCAGGGCGCCGTCACAGTCCCTCTTGTACAGGTTGTAGGAAATGTCTGCTGACCGCACGCTACTGAACTGCTGACAGTTTTGTTACAAAACAAGGTATTTCTAGGTAAGGACATAATCCCTGAATTGCACGTATTAGTGACAGTACTGAGCACTGGAAAGTGATGCACAGATTCTCGGTCGTCTATTGGATCCCACAGGACTCCGCGGTCTCCTTCAACTTCTGAAATATGTCAAAAAAGACATTCAATTTTGTGAATACATCACTCGAGAAAATACATCTTACACTTGTGGTTGTCATGAATTTTAAATTAAATTAATCTTTGATCATCTGTGTGATTTATTTGATAAAATACCTCATTTGGCGTGTTTACTCTTTAACATATGTGACCCACAACATGCATTATGTTCTCCCTGTGGGCGGTGTTGGTCGCCGCGGGGTTCAAACCGAAGGCTCAGATTCGATTTCCCAAGTGAGTAAACTGTGAGAAGACTATTTGAGGTGTTGACGGAAGGGAAAAACCTGGGGCATGGGGACATTAGCTGTAAACACTAACAGATGATTGATGGCTTGTGGCGGCGAATGTGGACTGCTTTTCTTTTAGTGAAGTCATGGAGGTTTTTTGGAAAGGATTTGGACGTTGTCCCAGTTAACGTTGGTGTTGTGATTAGGACAGTTGCTGATATGGTCTCAGATGGCTAATTTGCTCACGCAGTTAAAACTTTGGTTAAGAATGCTAAAAGGGATTCATATTGGTTACCCAAATATGTCAGAACTGTTAACCTCCAATCTAGTGTCAAACCAGAGCATCTACTGTGATAATTGCACTTCTTCTCCGGTATGGGTCTGAAATATGGGGGTTTGGGTATTCTGAAGTTGTAGACAGAGTACATCCTTAGGCTTGCCTCTGGCTAAACTCTATAACCCCAACTCCATGGTATATTGTAAACTGGGAAGAGTGTGTTTTAATACCCAAATATCAACGTGAATAGCCACGTACTGGCATAATATTGCAATAGAAAGTAACTTTAAAATAATATCAAACGTGATATCAACTTAATGATGGCTGATCCATATGCCAGCTCAACTGTTTACCCTCAGTAAACTGTATAGAGCAAATACCGAATAACTGCGGCCTGACCGAAGTATTTCTCGCACCTCCATATTTGCATAACGAATAGATTGCCACAAATGTCTATAGAGTGCTAAAGGATATATTTTATCAAAAACGTGGAAGCGATATTTGAGTAGTCCGAAAGGCAATGACGAGCAATTTGTTGAACAACTTCCATCTCTCTGCAAATCATGCTCAACAGCTATTTTTCCCCAAAATTTACTAATCAGATTCTACCTGTCACAATCTATGGGGTCCATTGAGAACTTGTACATTATGTAAATCACCAGCTATTGCCGACGACTTCCATTACATATTTCGTTGTGAGGTATTTAAAGAAGAAAGAATTTTTTACATATCTAAAAAGTATGAACACACAAGGCCATTTAGAAAGTGGTAAAATGTAACAAATGATATATTTATTTTGGAAAAAGTCCCATACGCCATACGAACCCACACAGCCAGAGAGAAGCACCTATTCCACGGCACACAAAGTCAGCGATCTAACCCACTTAGCCACAGAGGCTTCCATAAAATATAAGACCGACAGCTGGTAGTCTAGATCAGGTACGTTGTGTATCCCTCTGACAAGTGTAAATTATCACGGCTCTCAAGGCCGAAAGTTATGAACACACAATGCCATTAAGAAAGTTGTCAAATGTAAAAAAAAAATTATTTGGGATAACACTTTCTTCGTAAGGTTCATATTCAGTACTTTTGGGTGGGTTTTTTGTGTGCTAGCGATTAGGTGTGGGTTCGAATCCCGAATCAAGCACTAGAATCTTTATTTTACTAAGAAAGTGCTATCCCAAATATAACATTTGTTCCATCTAAAAATTATTTATGTTGGCAAAAAAGCTCTCTTTCCAACGCCTATTTTATACTTCCACTTTGAAAGAAATGAAATAAGATGTAAGAACTGATAGTCATCTTGTAGTCAATGTCTTCTGTGAATTATGTAATACATTGCTTTTGTACCACCAGCCGGGGTTTAGGGAGAAATATAAGGTCTGAACAAGGATAGCCTGTAAGAGATTAAATGATACTTTATAATATCAAGGTTTGATTTGTCACATTAATATATATTGTAATCGTAATACAATCGTGTTGCAAGAATAAATGAAAACCGTTATACAGTTGCAGTATCAATAACAGATATAGGCTTTAAGTTAATATTTATATGCCAGGGGTACATCTAGAATGTCTTATGAGCGAGTATAAAGACTGACTGAATTAGCCATGTAAATATCACCTGAACAGGATCATGGTTCATATTCCCAGGTTATATTTATTCATAGTCACAAAACCACCGCCGGTGTTCAGTACATTGGGGAGAAGGAAAACTACATGCCCTTCAAACTTAAACATCCTAGTGCTCAGTTGGGGAAATTGATAACTTCATGCCCTTCAAACATAAACATCCCAGTGCATAGTTCATCTATTAAAAAATATTTATATTTAGTCGCGGTTAATTGGTACCGTCCATCTCCATATTGAACATTAATATGTTTGCTGATTATGAAAACAATGGTTCATACATTGTTTTAAAAATGGCGTCATACTTGAAAAAAGATCGTATTTTCGTTCATGAATTGAATATACAAACATTTAGCTTAATGACCCTAGTGGCTTCATTGGAGATGTATGGACACAGTGGCATCACGATATGACGATAAGAAAACTGCTTATAACTGATAACAAACCAAAACAAATATAGAACTAATTATTGTTTCAACATATACCGCGTATTTAATGAAAATATATTGTCACAATCATACATACTGTAAGTGTTGAGTTCTGCCAATAAATATTTTATCAATACTTTCAAACTTCAAGACATAACTCTAATGGCATTTATAGGGGCTGTTGCCAGAGTTGCGGTGTAAAATGACCGTTTGGGGATCATGGTGAAGGTTGAGAAAAGCTACTCTTTTGCGACGGTCAAACAAAGTTGGTTGTCTTAAAACATCAGTCACTCAATAACCTTACAGAGTTGTTTACCTCAACTGTTCCGGGACAGGCTAAGCGAGTATTCGAAGTACAGTTTGTCCCCAAGTATGCCTCATGGGTGAACAACCGACACCCCCGTATTTACCAGAGACGCTGACACATTGTGATGTAGTTAAAGGCGGCATAAAACAACACTCAATCGTTCAGACAACATAAACATAAACCGAGTGAGCGAAATGGTTTTACGCCGCTTTTAGCAATATTCCAGCAACATCACGGCGGGGGACACCAGAAATGGGCTTCACACTTTGTACCCATGTCGGGAATCGAACCCGGGTCTTCGGCGTGACGAGCGAACGCTTTAACCACTAGGCTACCCGACCGCCCCAAACATAAACCGAGATAAGTGAATTTAGTTATCATTATTAAAATGAAAGAAAAGATTGCTTGATTATATCTATTAATTTACCTGTCACTTGACGTCAATGTTATCATGCCGAGCGCCGGTCAGGTGGGTCTGCTCATTGTCCATCCCGTGAGAAGAGGGCCCACAACATCCACATACTTTGTGACAGTACATGCAGACCCGGTCAGCCACCCACCGCATCACGAACATCATGACCACGGACACAATGAGCACAATCCCACCCAGGATAACAATGACAGGTACCAGCCAGGCGTCCGTCACCTTGTGTTCATACCAGACTGCGGCTAACACCCTGGGGTCAAAGAATGATCTGCTTCCAGTGTTGAGGATGTTCTGAGTCGTTGTCACGATTTGTGATTCCAGCGCTGCGGTGATGTTGTGAGTCGTTGCCGTGATGTTGTGAGTCGCTGCGGGGATGTTGTGAGTCGTTGCGGGGATGTTGTGAGTCTGGAATAAGCCCGCTGCAGCACCATCGTACTCAACCAGCATGCTGTCACGTCTTCTTGGTGTCCTGGTCAGGTGAAGTCGTTACTCACCGTGTGCATGCCTCAGAGAAGTTCTGAAAACGAAACTCTCATATCAATGCAATGTTCACAGGGCATTAATTAAAACCTTAAAATGACAAAAGATCCTCACACAAAAATACCATGTTTATTATATACGTCTTAATCAAAAGGTTTTGGCAATCAGACATTCATGCCAAAATCTTAACATTGCCAGCATCTTGACATCTGTCCTCAATGTTACATCTGTCCTCAATGTAACATCTGTCCTCAATGTTACATCTATCCTCAATGTTACATTTCTCCTCAATGTAACATCTGTCCTCAATGTAACATCTGTCCTCAATGTTACATCTGTCCTCAATGTTACATCTGTCCTCAATGTAACATCTGTCATAAGTGTTCAACCAATCAACAGTGTTAAACCGACACCGTTTTTGTCCAAGACATATATACACGCATTTAGAAAGTCTACTACCTTGCTGCAGGAAACACAAGCTGGTGAACTCAACGAGCCATCAGACTTAGTGTCGATCTTTGCTGTCGACTGAGGGAATTACAAGCAAATCATATACCACATTACGCGGTCCATTGTATTAGAGTCTTCATCGAATTCCCCCTGACAAATATGATGTAGGTTACTTGATAGGGGATAGTGTCATGACTATGTATGATATTATTCACAACACAACACTGGTGGCACTATGAATTACACAGAAATTGGCTTGGTCACCTGATCACCCCTAATTATTATTATGTACATATTAAAATAAAAAATGCAGCAAGAGGGTTTGGCTGATCCTGGCAGTGAAGCTGGATGGGTTAATCATCAGCTCAGGGCCCTTGCCCCCTCTACACGCAGCCCAGACATCGAATGGGTCTTCTCCCTGCCTTGTCAAACCCTACCAGAACTTTTCGGAGAATGTGAAGACTCCCCAACACTGCAGCTTTCTGACAATGTGTTGGACAGTGTCATTGCATAATCTACATTTCATATGTACATTTTGATGCAAAATCACACATTGACGGTTTCGAGTGGGAAGTGACTGGTCCTGAGCAGCAAACAGAAAGCCTTCTGTTTTACTTTTCAGGACAGCCGACTTCATCAAAGCGAAGGACTCTGCATGGTTGCGGATCTTCTCAACACACTGCACATAAACTCGATGCAGTGGTCCTTGAGACAGCCTCTCCTTGCAAAACTGAGTCCTGGCCGATTTGATAAGGCACTTCGCTTGGTTGACACTTATTTCTGTACCGTCCAGAAGTACAAAACCATCAACAAAATCAACACTGACATTGAGATTATGTCTTACACCCTTGGCTCGTTTAAGAAAACTGTGGAATGCCTTGTTTTCATCATGAGTCTTGACATGTTTCACAAGAGGATCGTCAGACAAATAAATGTGTGCAAAAGTGCACAATATTATTATTATAATATGTATCGTTGTACTGAGTGACACTGCAGATACGCGGTGTGAAGCGACAGTGTATATGGGGTGGTAGTGGACACTGTCGACGTGGACGCGTATGTCAGGTGTCAGTTGACAATATGAAAATGACAACTTGCATCGGATAATAGTAGACAATATTGAAAATGACACTTAAGATTGGCCGACTTATAAATCTCAAAAGAAACACGAGTATAGTTCTAGTCACTCCACGTATTAGGCACCACGGGGACTGTTTTGAAGAAGAGGGATCTGTTTTAGAAACAATTTTGCATCCAACATGCATTTCTCCATTTTGAGTCATACATGAGACACAGGTGGGGCAGGATATGCTCACCTTTTCGCGAACACCTGGCATCATACATTATTGATAGTGATTCATAAACACAAGCTCATGATATGATCGGTTCTGCTTTCTCGTGATTATGGAAGGGAATTTGTCACTTTCATTAATATTAAATACCAGATGTAGAAAAAAGATCTTGATGTCGTTAGGATTTACACTTGTATATTAACAAGTGTATATGGATTGCCTCCCTTTACTGGAATGCTATTTGAATCCTCCATCCTCTGATTAATCTGTTACTGCATCAATCGCCTAGAACACCACCCTCACCACCCACAACCATGCCCCCCTCTAACTCCCACCCACCGCCAATACATGTCATTAAATCCGTCTGTATCAAACTTTCAATGACACCATCCGTACTTTAACAGGTTATTTACTTAATGGAGTCACTGAGCTAAGCATTTCCAATAATATGCACTAATACCTGGATACAATGCAGGGGGTTAATAAAAACGTTGTGGTTTGCATTGAAACCTCTGAAACATGTGAAGTACATCACAAGATGAACGACATAAGTGATCCATTTGTCAAATAGGCCTCACCGAACTAACCAGACTGGACATATGCTACCTCTCACCCTGTGTTAGAACTGAAATACTGCTCGCTCACTCACTCACTCACTCACTCACTCACTCACTCACTCACTCACTCACTCACCCACCCACCCACCCACCCACCCACCCACCCACCCACCACTCACTCACTCACTCACTCACTCACTCACTCACTCACTCACTCAGTCGCCCACTCACTCACTCACTCACTCACTCACTCACTCACTCACTCACCCATCCACCCATCCACTCACTCACCCACTCACTTACTCACTCACTCACTCACTCACTCACTCACTCACTCACTCAATCAGTCGCCCACTCACTCACTCACTCACTCACTCACTCACCCACTCACTCACTCACTCACTCACTCACTCACTCACTCACTCACCCACTCACTCACTCACTCACTCACTCACTCACTCACTCACTCACTCACCCACTCACTCACTCACTCACTCACTCACTCACTCACTCACTCACCCACTCACTCACTCACTCACTCACTCACTCACTCACTCACTCACTCACTCAATCAGTCGCCCACTCACTCACTCACCCACTCACTCACCCATCCACCCACTCACTCACTCACTCACTCACTCAGTATGACAGATTCAAATATAGAAAACGGTTATGTCCATGAATAGGTTTCCTCAAACTGATATGTCCCCTCTGAAACATAATAAAGATGAAGTAACCTGACTGTGGCCTGACTTCAAAGACCGCTGAAACTTGCCAGAAAACGATTTGACTCTTCAAATTGCGGCTTTGAGTGGCTACCTGAACTGTCCAGTAGGATTCCCAGGTCCCGTCTCTCTGCCGGACATACTACAACAAAGGACATAGGCTTTTTTTATAGGACATATTCGTCACGCCACAACAAATCTGTTCATAATTGTCTGTTATATATAGTGCATTGATTTCTTATGTTCCGCTGCAGTGTATTTCAGCTTTGTTTCCAAATAATTGTTGTCGGAGAAAGTTGGTACCATAATTGACCTCCGACACCGTCACACTGTGACAGCCTAAACACTCACATCCGATTAGTTTGTATGTTTATTTGTTTGCTTAGCGTCGCATTCAGCAATATTCTAGCTGTAAATAATCGTGTCAGTACAATGATCAGTTGTGTTATATAGTAGTGTAACTGTTGATCAATGTTATAATTCTCTCATATTGTTTCTGTTGAGACAAGTAGAAGTTTTGACAATGGTTAGTTGTGAGGAATGTAGTACTATCTAATGTAAGCAGTGGTGTGGAAGTAACTATATTTAGATGCTTTTTGGAGTCAAGTGTAATCTGGACTCTTCCTGAACAGCTAGATTCGTCCAGCACTGTATAGAATTTTTAGGAGGTATTTTCACTACATAAAGGGGCAAAAAAGGGTTTATAACCTTACGAACAGTGTGTTTTGATAGCATTTGACATGAGAGGTCAAGTTCGAAACTCAGCCAAATTGGCCATTACTGTGTAGGTCAAGGGTCAAATAACTATCCCAACAGTTCAATGGAATTGTAAGAAATCGAATCAATTTTAGTTTTACAAAATCATTTCATGTGATAAAAAACCCACAAAAGAAATGCCACGAATCACAGTCGAGCAACGTGAACGAGCCTTGGGTATGGTACAGATGGGAGCCACCCACGCCCATATTGCACGAACCTTCGGTTGCTCCCGTGTTGCCGTTACCAACTTGATGCAACGTTACAGACAGACAGGGCGGACCGCTGACAGGCCAAGAACAGGCAGACCCAGGGTGACCACGCCCCATGATGACCGGTACTTGCGTACCTTGCACCTCCGAAATCGCTTCCTGACAGTGACGTCATCGGCGACAAATGCCTTAGGTCACAGGGTTAGTCGACAGACAGTGGCCAGGAGACTCAGGGCTCATGGAATCAGAGCTTTTAGACCATACAGAGGACAGCTATTGACAGCGCAACATCGTCGTCTGCAATTGAGATGGGCCCGGACTGTACGACGTTGGCAACGACGTGACTGTCAGAGGGTTGTCTTCACTGACGAAAGTCGATTCTGTATGTTTAGGGCTGATGGAAGACAACATGTTTAACGCCGAAGGGGTGAACGAACGGCGGCGTGTTGCGTGCAGGAGGTCGTACCATCTGGTGGAGGGAGTGTCATGGTGTGGGGAGGGATTTGTGGGCAGGAGAGGACACCGCTGGTCATCGTTGACGGAAACTTGATAGCTCAGCGTTACATTGATAACATTCTTCGTCCAGTTGTCCTACCATTTCTCCAACAGCAGCCACGTGGTGTCATTTATCAGCATGACAACGCTAGAGCCCATACAGAAAGAATTGTCACTAACAACGCCAATGGCCTGCCGTGGCCTGCACGCTCACCCGACATGTCCCCCATAGAACACCTCTGGGACTTGATGGATCGTCGTGTTCGACAACGACCACACTCTCCAGCCAACCGGCAAGAACTGATCTTGGCCCTCCAAGAAGAATGGCGTCAAATCCCACGTGACCTCATCAGACGACTGACTTTTTCTGTGCGTCGAAGAGTTTTTGCGTGTATTGAGGCATTTGGTGGTCACACACGCTACTAATGATTTGTTATTGAACGTGAGCGATTGTTTATGTACTCTGCCTATTGTCCATGATTCTGAAAGCTCGAGTTTTGTACCACACCCATTTTTGGGGGGCTCTGACGTCATTCTCGGTCGCGGTATGATTGTCATTTTCAGTGTTGATTATGTTGATATATTGATCTTCTCAATACACTTTACTTCATGCATGTATGTTTTGTTGTTTTTGAGCAAGAGTGATTTCAAACTCTGGTAAAGTTTCTTTTGGACGTCAATTTTTTCTAAGCACTGCACTGTACATATTGTACCGCTAAGGCAGAGACTGTGCCCTGAGTGTCATAAAGCTTTTTAAGTTAAGTTCAGTTCAGCTATGTCTCTCTCCAGGTCCTGACGGTGCCTTGTGGTACTGACCGCCTTCTGACTTCACTGTCAAGGTCATGTCAGGAGAATATGCAGGCCATGACAAAGCAGGAACGTTCATATTGTCGAGGAAGCCCCGCGTCAGCCCTGTGGTTGTTGTTGAAGAAATGATAAATTAACCGTTTTCAAGTCCCCACAGATTCGTCCCCAGGACATGACACGACCTGCTCCATACCATCTCTCTCTCGTGAGGGGAATCGAACCCGGGCTTTCGGCGTGACGAGCGAACACTTTAACAACTAGTCTACCTCACCGCCCCATTAACTAACGATGATAGCTGCATGTGCAATAATAATAATAATAACGTGGATAGGCATTTAGAAGTCGGTATGATGAACAAGGGAGATAGTTCTATAGATACACAACTTCTTCATGACCATTAATTTAACGTTTCGTTGTATATACTAACCCCGTTATCAAGCACGTCATGACCGTGCATCCCAAATTAGTCGCTGTATCCCTTGTTAACCCAGTACCCCAATACCCTAACCAAGGGCTGCACACATCCTGGGGACCCGTAAAGATCCGGGGTAGAATAGATCTTCAGCAACACCAAGCTCGCCGTAAAAGGTGACAATGCTTGTCGTAAGAGGCGACTAACGGGATCGGGTGGTCAGGCTCGCTGACTTGGTTGATGCATATCATCGTATCCCAATTGCGTTGATCGATGCTCATGATGTCAGTCACTGGATTGTCTGGTCCAATCTCTATTATTTACAGACCGCCGTCACATAGCTGGTATATTGCTGAGTGCGGCGTTGAACAACAAACAAACAAACACATCCGACAAACCAACACGTGCAGCAAATACGGTTTATTCCAACCTATGCAATACAACACCGCTTTAGCCAAAGCTGAAACATATCAGCATTTCTCCAGACGTTTAGTTCACTCAGTCCTGTGTGCAGACATGCGACATGACGAATGGTACTGACATTATATATTTTAACAGACAAACTGGTCCCAGCATATTCCGCCGTTCCTTGTGTCCGTCTCACGGTAGATGTCAGTGGTGTTGTCTTGTTTACCTCGTATAGTTCATTTAGTCCTGTTTGTCTGAACTAAGGCCTCGATAGGCCGCTGATGACCCGCTTCCTCGTTCAAATTCTGAAATGTGAGAGACAAGAGATTCAAGGATTGCAAATATAAAACTAACAATGTATGCTCACCGCTAAAAGAAAAGTGAACCATAGAAACATATAGAGAAGTATGTACGTTAAGAAGAGATGTTTCCAATGTGGACCACTTAATGACAAAACTAACGATCAGTCAAGTGTTACCACAGTGTCTTTATTAACGTGACTTCGAACTTTACACGCTAATCCTGCACCAGACAAATGGTGCATCTCGAGTCATGGATCTGTGACGTCACATGTGATGCGTTCATGAGCATCGGTTCACACAACATAACAGTATGTTCGTTTCATCGAACCAACCTAATATCTCTTGAATAAGAGTAATTCGTCGTATATTAACTAACATATATCGCATTCGCGTTTCTTTTGTTGGTGGGTATATTTAGTTCAAAAATACTGTGTCATAGCTGCAAGGTGAGTCTTGGATTCGAACCCGCGATCACAGGATCCTGGTACGCCCAACAGACGCATCTGCGCAGTGAACCAAGGCGTCTAGACTGAGGAACATGAGCGTCTCAAACAAACCTTAAATTATACATTTATGGTCAGTATTATTCAGACATGAAATTCTCAAATTTAAATAGGTCTCAGTGTGGTTTCATTCTGTTGTATCGGGGGCGGTGGGGTAGTCCAGTGGTTAAAGCGTTCGCTAGTCGTGCCGAAGGACTTGGTTCGTTTTCCCTCATGGGTACAATGTGAATTCACATCTGGTGTCCCATCGTAATATTGCTGGATGTTTGATGTGTGTATGTATGTTTAACAACTGCATATACAGTCGAAACCTAACTGGAACTTGAGCCCAAATAGGTCAAAGCACAGGAACAATATTTCAGCTCAAATCGAGTTCTGGGAAAAAACGTTGAAAATTCCGTTTTCGCAAAAAATCGCTCTCCCGTGCTGCGATATTGTGATTTCTCTTTCTCATTTAGATCGATGTAAACCAACATATCCCTTTGTCGCATTTGTATACAAATATATAGCCGTAGTGGACCCGTTGTCGCCATCGGCTATTACATCAACGCGGGGGGCACAGGTGGCCCAGTCGTCTAAGGCACCGCGATTCGCTGTGCAGAGTTGCGTCCCTTGGGCACGCCAGAAACCTATGATTGTGGGTTCGAATCCCGGTTCGCCCCGATTATGTTTCTAGGTTTGTCAGCACCATACCCGTGCTCGTTGGTTTCACCGAAGTTGTAAACGTCTGAGACCTGCATCACTTCGGGCTTTCCTCCCACATTAAGCTGACACGCCGCGATATAACTAGAATACTGTTAAAAGCGGCGTTAAACCCAACTCACTCACTATTACATCAACGCGAGGAGCACAGTAGTGGTTCGTCATATCAGGAGCTGTCTGTAGTCAAAGCATCCGTGTTTATGACCTCTGCATCACTGACGTCAATGACATAGTTGAAGCCGACTGCCTTCACAACAGGACGCAGGATGCATAGGACATTCTTCACATATATGTGTGCTGCCAGTTTCATTTCTTGAAATATGTTCTCAGTAAGAAAATCTTTATTTAGGAGAAGCTAAGTCATGCATCACACTTGGTTTGTCATGCTATAAATTTAGTTTGTTGGCATGATAAAATGAATTGGTGTGTCACAAGTTTTAACATAAACACGGATACCGCACAGGAAGTATGATCTCCAGTATGCAGAAAAAAAACTGCTGACTAATGACATTGTGAAATACCGTTGTTGGGGTCAGTCACACAGACACTCAGCTTCATGGGGCCTATAATTTCAAAGGATATGGCTCAAACCTGAAGCTCAAATGAACCTAAAGTTCATATACCGATTATATAGATCGTGACAGACAGACAGTGCACGTATTCGGATAACTACAAATGTTTGTGGTACGATTCAAACCTTGTATAAAATCAGTTGACGTGTTGATAATCAAGATGACCCGTGAAGATCTTCAGCAACCCATGTTTGACGTAAAAGGCGATTATGTTTGTCGTAAGAGGCGGCAAACGGGATCGGGTGGTCAGGCTCGCTGACTTGGTTGATGCATGTCATCGTATCCCAATTGCGTGGATCGATGCTCATGATATCAATCACTGGATTGTCTGGTCCAGACTCGATTATTTACAGACCGCAGTCATATAGCTTGAATATTGCTGAGTGCGGCGTTAAACAACAAACAAACAAACCAATAATAATTTCTCTCTTGAGGGATACGCATAACAAAACGGGGATAAATATTATTTTCGTATTTAATAAATTGCCCTTAATAGGAATTATCGCAATTAGTTTATTAATTCCTGTGTTACCTGTCATGTTGACGGCGTCGTTGTCGTGCATGGATTCCGTCAGGTGGGTGTATTCGTTGTCCAGGCGTCGGGCGGGGGCCTCACAACAACCACACACCTTGTGGCAGCACTTCAACACCCACAGTTCGAACCCCCGGATCACATACACCAGCGCCAGAGCCACCAGCACCAGTATCCCGACCACGACGACGATCACAGGCACCAGCCAGGCCACGGTCGTCTTGTTGGCATCCCAAGCTTCCGATAAAATCTTCTGGTCAAAGAACCCAGGTGATGTCGTTGTGGTGTTGACGATGTTCTGTGTCGTTGTGGGGTTGATGATGCTCTGTGTCGCTGCTGAAGTATTTTCCAACAGTGTGCTGGTAACGCCGACATGAACGGCGGCTGTAGCATTGCTCCCTGACATGTCGCCTAGTCGTCTTGAGCGCCCCCGGAGATGGTTATTCCAGCATCCTGTTTGATAACGACTTCCTGTAACAGCAGCATGTACATCGCTGTCAGTTCTCTATTCAAACCCAAAACATTATACTTGCCTTGAAAAAAACCAGTTGATTTTCTTTTGTTAACATACCCGCCCGGATGCATTCTGTCAACAATTGGGGCGGTGGGGTAGCCTAATGGTAACGCGTTCTGTCGTCACGCCGAAGACCCGGGTTCGATTCCCGACATTGGTGCAATGTGTGAAGTCCATTTCTGATGTCCAACGCTGTTATATTGCTGGAATATTGCTAAAAGCGGTGTAAAACTATATTAACTGTCAACACTGCTAAGTAATTCTTACCTACTTTTCAGTCTTGGGGTAAAGACATTTTATACGTATTTAGTTCAATACACAACTCCGAGCGTAAGACAAACTGTTGAGCTCAGCGTATAACTATTCTATGGTCGAGTTATTAAATATATGTAGTAAAAATGAAGCACTGCACGGTATGGTAATATCGTTATGATTATGTATTATATCGTTAATATCGGAACACATGTGGCCTTGTCCGTGACACAGCAAACTCACTTACAATCTCACCGGGATACACGCACGGGGAATGCCATCCCTTGTAACAATATTACTGTGTCTATCCTATTACTTTCACATACTGAACACGTGCATGTATTTAGCAGACATTCAGATTGTCAGCAACGCCACTGTCGGCAACTCCAATGTCGCCAACACCACTGCCTACGGTTATTTATAACGTGTGATCCTCGCGGGGATGACAATAGGTCTCAACAACCGCGGTCTGTTGTACGAGGCGACTTTCGGGTGATCAGACTTGGTAACTTAGCAACCCCGACCGTGTGGGGAGTTTCTCGTGTTATCACTCACTGGTAATACCAATCTTGGTAATGTCAAACACTGGTATTATCACTCACTGGTAATACCAATCTTGGTAATGTCAAACACTGGTATTATCACTCACTGGTAATACCAATCTTGGTAATGTCAAACACTGGTATTATCACTCACTGGTAATGCCAATCTTGGTAATGTCAAACACTGGTATTATCACTCACTGGTAATGCCAATCTTGGTAATGTCAAACACTGGTATTATCACTCACTGGTAATACCAATCTTGGTAATGTCAAACACTGGTATTATCACTCACTGGTAATACCAATCTTGGTAATGTCAAACACTGGTATTATCAATCACTGGTAATACCAATTACTTGTTATAACAATCAGTGGCAATACCAATTACTTGTAATATCAATCACTTGTAATGTCAATCACTTGTAATGTCAATTACTTGTAATATCAATCACTTGTAATACCAATCACTTGTAATATCAATCACTTGTAATAACAATCACTTGTAATGTCAATCACTTGTAATATCAATCACTTGTAATATCAATCACTTGTAATGACAATCACTTGTAATGTCAATCACTTGTAATACCAATCACTTGTAATACCAATCACTAGTAATGTCAATCACTTGTAATATCTATCACTTGTAATATCAATCACTTGTAATATCAATCACTTGTAATACCAATCACTTGTAATATCAATCACTTGTAATAACAATCACTTGTAATGTCAATCACTTGTAATATCAATCACTTGTAATATCAATCACTTGTAATGACAATCACTTGTAATGTCAATCACTTGTAATATCAATCACTTGTAATACCAATCACTTGTAATATCAATCACTAGTAATGTCAATCACTTGTAATATCTATCACTTGTAATATCAATCACTTGTAATGTCAATCACTTGTAATACCAATCACTTGCAATATCAATCACTTGTAATAACAATCACTTGTAATATCAATCACTTGTAATATCAATCACTTGTAATACCAATCACTTGCAATACCAATCACTGGTAATGTCAATCACTTGTAATATCTATCACTTGTAATATCAATCACTTGTAATATCAATCACTTGTAATACCAATCACTTGTAATACCAATCACTGGTAATGTCAATCACTTGTAATATCTATCACTTGTAATACCAATCACTTGTAATATCAATCACTTGTAATACCAATCACTTGTAATACCAATCACTGGTAATGTCAATCACTTGTAATATCAATCACTTGTAATATCAATCACTTGTAATACCAATCACTTGTAATATCAATCACTTGTAATAACAATCACTTGTAATGTCAATCACTTGTAATATCAATCACTTGTAATACCAATCACTTGTAATATCAATCACTAGTAATGTCAATCACTTGTAATATCTATCACTGGTAATATCAATCACTTGTAATATCAATCACTTGTAATACCAATCACTTGTAATACCAATCACTGGTAATGTCAATCACTTGTAATATCAATCACTTGTAATATCAATCACTTGTAATACCAATCACTTGTAATATCAATCACTTGTAATAACAATCACTTGTAATGTCAATCACTTGCAATATCAATCACTTGTAATAACAATCACTTGTAATATCAATCACTTGTAATATCAATCACTTGTAATACCAATCACTTGCAATACCAATCACTGGTAATGTCAATCACTTGTAATATCTATCACTTGTAATATCAATCACTTGTAATATCAATCACTTGTAATACCAATCACTTGCAATACCAATCACTGGTAATGTCAATCACTTGTAATATCTATCACTTGTAATATCAATCACTTGTAATTACAATCAGATGCTGCACTATTATCAGGGTCATGTAAGACAGAGTGTGATATAAACTCACTATGTCCGATGCAATTCCCTATTTTGACTTAAACCATATGTTCCCATGTTTTCAGGTGAACAATTGACTTGTCTTTGCATGTGTTTGTGACGCGTTCCAATGTTTACGGCACATTGTAGTAGTGTGACATACGTGCCATTCAGTGATACATGCACATGACTTCCATCACTAGTTTGCCTGCTAACGTTCAATGGAATCTGTTATGGTATATATTCGAGAATGAGTCTTCTCTGGCGTTGACATTTTATATTATATAGCATATTTTAAGTTGTCAACAAAACCAATTCCCGTCATTGATATTTATCAAATTATCATGGTGATTTGTCTTTAATATTGCATTTCAGAATAAAGAAGAAAACCAAATCTTTTTAATGTAAAAAAATCTATTCAATTCCCAGTCGTACTAGTTGATGCCAAACCCTGCTCGTGTCAAACTGTCAAACTGTAAAACATTTAAAAATCAAGTTTATTTTTCCACTATGTTTAAAAAAAAGAAGTTTATATATAAAATAACACTTCCATTTGTTTACAGGCGTTATGATGAAACACATCAAACGTACCGACTCTTTCAGTTGATGATGGAGGAAAGTCTTCACATGAAACCGAGACTTGTAGACGAGAGTATTTCAAGATGTCCGATCCACCACAGTGTGACCTCGCGATAGCCTTGTCACGTGATATTGTTTTGTCTTGAAGGCAGTTGTCGATTCTCACAATTGTCTACAGTTCTTATCACCAAATACTGCGGACTCCTGTGCACTGTATTGTCATAATAATCATCCTAATTTCCGGAGTGAGTGAATGTCATTCCCGTCATATCTCAGTTAATACGAGTTGGGCGAGGGGGTAGGGGGACGGTGAGGTGAGGTGAAATGGGGTTTAACGTCGCGTCCAAGATTATTGCACTTATATAGCGACGTGCATGCACGTGTGTGTGTGTGGCTGCTTGTACTAGTCCGGACTGATGCCGATTTATAGTGCTAGCCCACTGAGATACCATGCCGCAGTTTAACATGAATACCCCACTCAGACACAGTATACTGACTCCGAGCCGACCAGTCCTTGTTTTAGCCCCTTAATGCCGAGCGCCAGACAGGGTAACAACAAGTACAATCTTTTAACGTCTTTTTGTATGACGCGGCCCGGGATCGAACCCTGGACCTTCCGCTCTACCACAAGACCACGGAGGCGGTCGAGTATTGGTGAGGTGAGGTGAAATGGGGTTTAACGTCGCGTCCAAGATTATTGCACTTATATAGCGACGTGCATGCACGTGTGTGTGTGTGGCTGCTTGTACTAGTCCGGACTGATGCCGATTTATAGTGCTAGCCCACTGAGATACCATGCCGCAGTTCAACATGAATACCCCACTCAGACACAGTTTACTGACTCCGAGCCGACCAGTCCTTGCTTTAACCCCTTAATGCCGAGCGCCAGACAGGGTAACAACAAGTACCATCTTTCCATCTTTTAACGTCTTTTGGTAGGGGGACGGGGATGCTGTCGGGGGGTGGGGTAGGGGATGGGAACTTATTCCCTGGGGTGTCGACACTAACACAAACACCCCCAGCCATGTTTGCAAAAGAACACAAGAACCTTAATTATATAAAATATGTACCACTGTATCATTGAAATACCGGGTATCCCCGTGACATATCCCCGCCTCCCCTGCCTCCAGCTTACCCACTGAAGTTTATAATTTAAGAAGAGACCCACCCTCAAAACCCTGGATCCACCCATGTTCGCGGGAACACCGTGAGTGTATATGACACATTCTACCCTCGTCGGGAATCGAACACGGACCCTCGTCATAGCGGCCCAACGCTTTATCCACCAGGCTACCCTATCACCCCTTCTATTATCAGAATAGTCCGAAAGCATTCCAGGAAGAGCTAGACACTAAACAATACTTTATTATATATTTAGAATATTTTGAACGCAGCATGAATCGGACAATATAAATAGATAGTAACAACAAGAGTGCGCGGAACGTGGAGGGACTCCAAAAGGCCAAATATTTCATCGCAAAAGAGCTTCCGTTATTACACCCAAACCTCACCGTTTGAATTTTTTAAAATTAATTTGTTTATATGTCACGGTGACACGCCCTTGTCAACCACTCCTTATCAATCATTGATATAAAAATATACTGATCGTGAGATCTAACTGTTCCGCGTGTAATAAACAATCACATGATCAAACACTAGCCTGTGGCACAAGCCCTGAACCATATTATTTTCCCTTCCTCCCAGCCCTTTCTGTGATACAAAAGCCCTTAACGAAGCAAGTCTAGATTTTCTTAGGTATTAAATCTACCATCTCACCGAGGCTCCTTTTCAATTTAAATTGAGTTATCTGTTTCTATCAAAATTATATATTTTCAGAGACTAAGCGTTAGTCTGAATCAAACACGCATAATGTGCGTTCCCAACCACCAGAAACAAGGCTCAGCGAGAACAGGCGATCTCACTTTGGCCCACCGACGTGGCAACTGTGAGTTTGGGAATGTCAAAACTGTCAAAGACAGCGAATACAAATACACTTGAAATAGAAACTACCAAGGTTGTAATCTACTGAGTGTACAGATTTTACTCACCTTGTGTTTGAGAATTAGAATTTTGCACACAATCATCGAAATTCCATCATTCCTAAAATAAATCTCGCAGATGAAATTGACACCTCACACGTTTCACTGAACGGGCTTCCTTTCCATGGAGGACGTCGCCAGGGGCCGTTTCATAACCACGTCATTCATTTCAAATTTTGAACGAATGTTTGAAGATTATCACATTCAACTCAAAGTCAGGACAAATATATTTCTCTCTCTATTGGCTGATATGTCGATCATCACATGTTACGTGATCAAGAGCGAGAGATCTACCTTAAACGACTTTATATGCTATATCGTTTATGATATGTCCCTAAACAGAACCGCGTGGCCTCGGCTGGTGTTTTCAAGCTTGTCAAATTTTGTCATAACTCGAAAACGACATTGCACGTTTTGTGAATGATTTTCTTTCTATTATCAGCTTTTGTATTTTAGTCATAATGCTACTTTAAGAAGACAATAAACTGTATGCTTGAAATAGTAATAGCTGTTAAATGTACGTAATTAAAGACCCATCAAGATCCTTTTTTCATAAACATAGACTTTTATTTTATTTTTTTATTTATGTAATTGTAAAGATAAATAACACATTTCATCGACAAAAAAATTTAAAACACAATATGTTTTAAACAATCAAGCATCATAAAAAGTTTAATGATATACTTCGTATCATAAAAGTCGAACCACATTTGATCCCTCTCACGTACAGCTGTTGTCAGAGGTCTGGAAGATAGCAGATGACAGGTAGATCAGATTTATTGATTTTTACACCTGTAGCGGCGAAAACGCAAGCTGGGACAAGTACTCTGATAGCTTCCTTCACCTGGATGTATATATATATATACAACTGAAACTGTAGATCTGCGTGATTACCGTAGAAAACAACACCATTGTGTGCGGCATCTGGTTCGGAGGGCCAGTATAAAGTATATTCACTAGTCTTGTTTGTTTGTTGTTTAACGTCGCACTCAGCAATATTCCAGCTATATGACGGCAGTTTGTAAATAATCGAGACTGGACTAGACAATCCAGTGATTGACATCATGAGCAACGAGTAACACAATTGGGATACGATGACATGCATCAACCAAGTCAGCGAGCCTGACCACCCGATCCCGTTTGCTGCCTTTACGGCAAGCATGGGTTGCTGAAGACCTTTTCTACCCCGGATGTTCACGGGTCATAGTCACTAATTACGGTTTTCAAATTGTTTCAGGCTGTGGGATAGTTTTCCTTATAAAGGTTTGGCAAAGTATAGTTTTGTCTCAGATGGTATTTCCAGTGTCAATAAGTGAAAAAGACAATTACCTGTCCGCGCGCACACATAAGTGTACAGGTCTAGTTTATGTTAACTGACGGTCAAAGGAACCTTTACCATAGTTTGAAATAACTCAAGTTTAAAAACAAATAAAGATGAAGTATGAAGTAAAATGTTACAGTATTGAAAAGATCAAAATCAACATTTAAAATGATAGTCATACAGTATCTCATATTTGCATGACAGTTGCTCGAACTGAGGTGGGGTAGCAAAAACAAGCTTTCAACGTGCTGGACAAAGGGCACACACATCTAAACATCTAAACATCGCTCAAGTCCATTGACATGCCAAACTAGTAGCGTGTTGGACCACCCCCTGCTCGCAAAAACTCTCCGGCGCTCAGGAACAGCCAGTTGTCACTTGGGATGTGGAGTCAGTATACTGTGTCTGAGTGGGGTATTCATGTTAAACTGCGGCATGGTATCTCAGTGTGCTAGCACTATAAATTGGCATTAGTACATTAGTGCCGGACTAGTACAAGCAGACAGACAGACAGACACACACACACACACACACACACACGTGCATGCACGTCGCTATATAAATTTAAATGCAATAATCTTCGACACGACGTTAAACCCCATTTCACCTCACCTCACCTCACCTCACCTCACTTCTTCCTAACGTATGTAATGATATACATTTGAAAAAGAAGTTCCACATATAATTTACATCTATTCTTAAATAAATTCTAAATAATTTAATTAAATACACGACGGAAGCCTTTTGGGGCCATCTGCTGTTATGACTTTTTTCTTCATTTCCAAAATACTTCGTTAACATTTCAAGTAAATGACCTTAAAACTTCAAGATAAGTCATTGAAAATTCAGTATTTAAATTTCAACTTAGTATCTTAAAATTTCAAGAAAAAGTCAAAAAGTCAAAAAGCCAATGGCCTTAAAAGGCTTCTGTGTGTCTCTAATCAAAACTAATAGAAACGTTTTTAAATATTTTTTCGTTTAGCGGAATTACAATATCTCGGCCAACAGCTGGTGTGTGGATGTGCTGGGCTGTAAACACAGCAACATGCAATAACGAAAACTAAAGCATTCGCTAGTGTTACACAAAATCGGTCATGTGTGGGCGGTTCGTCTCGCTGCGGTATTGTGATGCTTGAATAACGATTTAGTACCAGTAATATATTACATCGAAGCCTTCTGGAACATAGTTAGGTAATATGACGTGTCGGTGGATATAAAACATTGGAAAGTGTCGTCCTGTGACTTTGAACCTTTCTTTTTCCACCCTTTAACGCCATGGTGCTGTTACAGTTATCTCCCTTGTATACGAACTGATCGAAGCGCTCGTCAAATCCGTGAAACAGCCGTTCCTTGTTTTCGATTCTCACGATTCCAAAAGTGATTGCCTCTAATCCGTTCAACAGAATGTCACACTTTTGATGGCACATTATGTACATCAACAATAACAGTGAATATTTATTTTTCTTCAAATAATTTATTATGAGCAAAGGCTGTATCATGATAACGTGATTACATCATCATCCACAACAGCCATCTTGACTGCCATGTTGCTTGTGTCCCGATAGCCAGCGCCCTGCCAGCGCCACCAGTGTACTATATCCTATATCCTATATTCTCTAGTATATTTATAAACAGTATCGATCTGAGTGGATGGTAGATGTACAGACGTCATGTTTAACTCACTTGTCCTAAGTAATTCATTTTATGAACTATAGGAGTGTAACAGGGTTCTGTAAGGAATGGGGGCGGTCGGGTAGCCTAGTGGTTAAAGCGTTCGCTCGTCACGCCGAAGACCCGGGTTCGATTCCCGAC